ACATTGTTTTTGTTGACCACCAACACCTTACTCAAACAAGAAATCTGAACTACCTGATACCCTACTCGAGGACACAATATCATCAAAATTCATTCTTTCCTAGGATCATACCTCTTTGGAATAGCCTTCCCCTAACTGTTCAGTCTAGCCCCAGTTTAAACATCTTTACTGAGAGGCTTGACCCATTCTATAAATTCTAAACTGTACACTATGTCTTTTAAATTAATAGTCTTGTAGAACTTTTATTCTTTTAACTTTTAATTTGCATATAAATAAATTCTTTTATTAACAGTTCCCTGACAACGCGCCTGCTAGTCATAATCAGAATTGATTGTTAAGCAGTATAATGTAGATGTAGATGTAAAGATGTCTGTATATCAGATCTGAATGCACTAGCATGCCTGTCTAATGAACGGATTAGTTTTACCTATTCAATGCTGCATACAACACCAATGACTGCTTCTAGAGGAATCACTCAGAATCCCAATGGGCCCTTCGCTGTCAGGGGTTACAGGCTTACAGCCACTCAAAGGTTATCAAAGATACATATACTCACGTATTCACCTATCTCGTACCAAGGTCCGCAAGTACTACACTCCTCCCCGTCCTATTTGAAGGTGTTGGTCCACCCTGACGACCTAACCAAACAGGCTCTTATTTTTGGGATGACCTTCCTGGTTCTAACCAGTACTGCTGTTGCAACTACTTGCTTTTTCAATTAGTACTACAAGTTACGATACCCCCTCCCTTGTGATCAAGGGGCCTATTCTACCAATAACCACAATTTGTGGATCACGGGTCCTATACCAATGGAACATAACGATCTAAGATGTTTCGAGGTCTCTAACCATTGATCCCAAATAAGCACCTATATGGCTTAATCAGACTATTCTACTGAGAGCGACATCATCCCCTCAATGCACAGCCACAGAGAGATTACCGAAGACAATTGGATAATTTCCTTCTAAATTCTGGCCTCATTCTGGTCTCAGCAACGCGCAACTTGACCCCAACGATCAAATCTGAAGTAGAACTACTACCTTTCGGCGGACTGAAACAGAAGACTCACCCTAATGACTGCCTCCAAATGGTCGTTTAACCGGCAGCTCACAACGGTGAACCACACACTCATGATTTGGAACTTCTCCAGCCGCCGAGGACTGATTAAGACGATGTATACATTCAACTCACCTAGTGATTTTATCCACTATCATAAGTACATGCCCATGTACCCGTTTCATGGGGGATCCTGCCTGGTACTCTGTCAAATGGCACTTCTCCGGCCAGTCGACTTACCGGCCTCACACTATGAAACAAACGGTTTCATATCATAGCCTAAACCATATCAGGTATACTTCTCGTTAACTTGTTCCTTGATACTAGTAACTACGGAATGCCGTTAGGGCCATCGCCTATAAATGTGTTGATCTAAAACGCGATAGTCGATAGTACGATGGTGAAAACGCGAAATCACGAAACTACGATGGTGAAAACGCGAAAGCACGATGATGAAAACGCGATAGTACGATGATGAAATCGCGACAGTACGATACTACGATGATGAAAACGCGATAAACTATCGTGTTTTCACCATCGTACTGTCGCGTTTTCACCATCGTAGTTTCGTGATTTCGCGTTTTCATCATCGTACTGTCGAGTATCGAGTTTCAGACCAAACCATTCATAGGCGATGGCCCTAACGGCATTCTCGAATGCGGCATTCTGGAATGCCGTAAGGGCCATCGCCTATGAATGTGTTAATCTGAAACGCGATAGTCGATAGTACGATGGTGAAAACACGAAATCACGAAACTACGATGGTGAAAACGCGAAAGTACGATGATGAAAACGCGATAGTACGATGATGAAATCACGAAAGTACGATGGTGAAAACGCGATAGTACGATGATGAAAACACGACAGTACGATGATGAAAACGCGATAGTACGATGGTGAAAACGCGATAGTACGATGGTGAAAACGCGATAGTACGATGATGAAAACACGACAGTACGATGATGAAAACGCGAAATCACGAAACTACGATGGTGAAAACGCGACAGTACGATGGTGAAAACACGATAGTTTATCGCGCTTTCATCATCGTAGTATCGTACTGTCGCGTTTTCATCATCGTACTTTCGCGTTTTCATCATCGTGCTTTCGCATTTTCACCATCGTAGTTTCGTGATTTCGCGTTTTCATCATCGTACTATCGACTATCGCGTTTCAGATCAACACATTCATAGGCAATGGCCCTAACGGCATTCCGTAAGTAACACCCTGATGCAGTACGTTTATATGTATGGCACTTGCACAAAACAACCATATTTTGGATATTGAATTATTGCCATTGCCTGTTTATAAAAAAAAATGATGAAATATAATTGTATCATAGTTTGGAGACCTAAAAGTTGAAAATGTGTCAGAGTTAAATCGTATACATATATATGCACAGTGCGTTAACTGGAGTGCAGGTGTTAGTTACCCGCACTCCAGATTGGCTCATTTCTTCTGGGGTTTTCTTATTGTGACGACAGAGAAACCGTATTCAGATGCTCATTTATTGGCTACTTTTTCTGGGGTGTCATATTGTAACAAGAGGGAACGTGTTTTTATTTTTAACTATGCTACAAAAGAGAAAGAATATCAAAACACTCCGCAATCCGACTTACACTTTCGTACAAATCAGATAGCCTCTTGTTTCGATGCTCTTTCTATTACTTACAACGCAGGTGGCGTCGGATTCGATTTAACCGTGTGCATGTAGTAAGTTGGAGAAGTAAATATGTGGGCTCCTGTCTCACTAGGCGTTTCCAGTAAAACATTAAACCTAAAGCGAAATTCAGTCATTAACCTACCGACAACAGCAAACGACCATTTTTCAGCCATACTCCATCGACGCTGTGATGGGCGAAATCTATGGCCAGTGTGATTGAGATTTGCGGGCATTGTTCTGGCTTCCAAAACTTCAATAGCCGCCTTTTATATAGTAAAATGAGGTATATCGTTAAATCGGGATATAATTTATTGATGACGATTAACCATTACGAGCATGTCTATATATACAATATATACACTGTATATAAGACACCGGTGTCAGATTCCTGGCACACTTATTGGTGAGGTTTCCTTATGGCATTGACTTAATCCTACCCGTCCTGACGTATTATTAAATGAGATCTAGTATGGAAGTAATTGAATTTCAGGTTTCACAATTGCGTAGATCTATGTTCTATATTGATAAATCTTGAATTGATAAGCTCCGCTTTTAATAGCATGCTACATGTAACATCACTTGTGTATATTAAGACGACTCCTGTTGTCTCCTAGTTAAAATGATACAGTAGTATGTTTTACCTTTACATCTCATTTGAGATATAATATTCACGATACTATACTTGTCACTAAATCAAAACATACAATAATCTAAACAGAAATTCATAAAATAGTATTTTATCCAGCCCTTCTCAATCAAAGTATGCAGTGTACAGCTGGTCATTCCTTCGCAGCCATTTTACGAGTGCGTAAAACCTCGCGTGTGCACCTTCGATAGAGTTTCTGTAAGTTTCGTGTTATGTACGCAGTAATTAAGATGTGATTTAATTCAATATGTGTCGCCTGTCTACTGAGCTTTATAGCGCAATAGGGTAACCTACGTATTTATAATTTCTAAATGTCTTACTAGTTGTATGATCGAAACCGCGTAATACCATGTTTTTTCTTATTATATTTTCAACATTATTAAAGCTATATGGTTGTTTTTATGTTGTTTGCTTTGTTCTTATATGTTTTGCAATTATTTTGGTAATTAAAGTCTATACTAGTCTAAAGAAGTAATATTTAAAATTCATTCGGTATAAAATCATTTCAAATGGCATTTAACTAAAAAAATTATAAATGTTACAAAACAACAATTTTTCACCAAAATTAGGTGAAAGACCACATGTTGACATGGAAAAACTAGATTTTGGGTGATTCCGAGGTTTTTAATCATTTTTTGTTAACCCTTTACCTCATATATACGCGAAACAACGCACTTTCGACCCCCCCCCTTTTTAGGCCTGAAATTGTGAAAAAATGTCCTATTTGGGCCCCAAACACATGTTTTCGTTTGAGAAATGTTGCTAAAAAAGTGAGCACTTTTTCGGCGCCGCCCCCATCCAAAAGATACATCAGGGGGTTGCCAGAAGGGGGATGTGCCCCCTTCTGTTGGGGGGGGGGGGTGGGGGTTGGAAGGGGGGGCGGAGTCACCCTGATCGCCAAGAAAACTTTGGACTTGTGAGAGGCTAACAATGACTCAAGGTCGATCATAAGGTAACGTGTAACCAACGCTGAAAAGCCTTTGACTCTATCTCAATCCCTTAAGAAGTTGCAGCACTTTGAAATAAATTTTGATGGAAAAATCGAGGCAAAATAGTGATTTTTGGCAATTTTGAGATGTCCCCTCGTTGCCATGGTAACAGGAAATTTAAGACTGAGCATGTCGTTACAAAGGCAATGGTCCAGTCAACATTTGTGCCCAGTTTTATTAGTATTGAAGCATTTTTCATAGTTTCATAGCAGTTTGAACTTGTAACAGGTGGCTTTTCAGTGAAAACGGCCATTTTTCACATTATGCTCATGAGGGAAAGGGTTAATGCAGTAAAACAGTATACAAATCGGAACAAAAGTATTTCAAAGTATCTTAATATCCTTGTTGATATTTTTGCAAAGCCTTGACCATTTGCATTAAAATAAACTGCAAAAAAAGAAAGAAAAAAGTAAGTTTAAAAGAATGGTAACACAGTAATAACTGAACAACAGACCTTTCATATATTAGGCAATCACTTAACTGACTGTACTATTACGGATGTAACTACGAGCTATACATTAAGCTGGTGTGACTTTTCAAAGCTTAATATTAATTCTCGTAAATTCACGGACAGGACCGAAGTAAAATCGAATATTTCATTAATGTGTGTTGTAATCTTTTCATAATTGACATGTCAATAAAAGCAGAGCATTTTGAGACATAGCCTCGACTACCATGTTAACGTTGGAGATAAGAAATTGAATACGTGACTGCATACATATATTACACTGATAACGATACTTGTTTTCTATGATAGCTAAAATGGAGGAAATACGCCAAAATATCAAGTGTAAAGATTACATTGCAGTTTTATATGGATTTGTACATACGGGTAGAAAAACGGAATCTTACACACGAGAAAGACTTCGTTTACTACATCAAAAGATATACAGATTGTTGGCAGGTCTTCCACGTTGTCATGCAAAGTGCAGCTCTCTCCATAAGTTACAATTTAACAGGTACGTACACGTCTTATATTATTGTTCACATACATATACGAATTTTATTTTGTTACTACTTTCGCGGAATTGTTTATATACATAAAGCCTAACTATATTAATCTCGATCCACCAAACTGTCCGCAATGAGGCAAAATTAAAATCGAAAGTAAATTTCAAGGTTAACATCAATGCTTTTCAGATAGCACCTATTCCCTTCCTTGACCAACATTTGGAGTCATTCCCAATATATTTTAATGTAAAAGGTAAGATGAAAATACATGTATCTCAATTCAATTATCTTCATATGTAACCTGATAAAAATCTTATTCATGCTGATGCTATAATAATATTTCCATTCACAGATAACTAAATTTGACAATTCACCTTAAATCGTATTTATATTACATAGGATATTGGCCCACAATATGGTAGTCGAGAGGTAAATATTGTAAAAATAAAGACCATAACTAACTACAATTACAATTTTGACGAGGCCCAAATCAGACTCGACCTAAATCAGACTCAACCTTACACAGATTCCGTCATAAAAGATGTTTTCATTTGTTATCTAGAATATACAATATATGTGTTGCTACAGAAAAAAGAAGTCCTCAGTATTTGATGTATAAATTGCTTAAAATTGACAAATTAAAACGAAACTTACAAATCTGCTACGCCCTGTCTACCATAATCACATGAGTGAACGAAAGCAGTCACGTGACCAATCACTAGCAGGTTTTAGAGGTATCATTGGCGTCCGCGCCGAAGCGCGACTCCCCTCATGGAATGAGAAAAGGCAATTGAAACTTCTCGGGCCTTTTAGTCGGTCATAACAGCCGATCATTCCGATTGGTATGAGAGTGTTTGATTTTTAAAAAAGAAATGTCGCGATATTTACAATGAATAGCGAACTGGAGAATTTCGCAATGCAAACATATTCAAATGAAATAATCTTTTCCGTCAATTAATCACGCTCTTCGGAACGGTCACTCGTGTGGCGCTATGGTAATAAATAAGAAACTGGAGAATTTTGAAGGAAATGAAATGGAAACATATTCAAACAATTAATTGCATTCGTATAAATCTAGGCGTCCGCTGTGGGTTAGAATCCCGACAGGGACTTTGGATTCTTTCATATGAGGAAGCTATCCAGCTAGCTTACGGAACGTTGGTGGTTCTACTCAGGTGCCCGTTCGTGCCTGAAGGGCACCTGAGGTCTTCCTACACCAGTAAAGCTGGAACGTCGCAATATGACCTATATTGTGTCGGTGTGACGTAAAACCGAAAAACAAAACAAAAGCATGAGGTTTCTGCACGGAAATAAATATTTTTTCCAGCGCACGCACTTCGTAATTTTGATGTAAAATCTAAATAGTATTTCAAAGTAAATACAACACACAAAGAATCACTGATATAGTTTTCTATATACAATTCACTTAGATGGTTTCCATGGCGCGTTTGTTTAAGTAAATCCTGAATACGAATTTTGATTGCTGTAGATGAAATTTCAATATTATCTAATGTGATACAGTGTAGAGTTTGCATTCTTTGACCAGTACACAATGCTTATAACATTAACAATTCATAACTTAATAATCTAAGTGATAAACCCTCTAACGGAAATATTGATTGAAGATAACACATAACAGTTTTATCATGGGATGTTCCCATGTACAATTGTATCTAGATAGAGATGGCCTTTTATCAGATATTCCTTTCATAAACTGCTTTATCAATATTTGGTTTCCAAATTATATGTTTGAAACTATATACATGTACACAGCACTAGAAATCGTATTGATAGCACTATAACCTGATTTATGTTTTATTCTTCATAGTTTAAGGGACTTTTAAATAACTTGGCACAAATAGTCACAATAATAAGACGATATGTCAAGTACAACACCTGCACCCCTACCTCCAATGTCAAGGTCACACTTAGAGGTCAAAGGTTAACAGAGTCTGTTATATGGTATATTTTGTGTCCCATCCATAACTTCTTCATAGATTAAGGGATTTTGTAAACACTTTGCACAAATAATCACAATAATAAGACGATATGTCAGTCACAAAATATGAGTCCCTACCTCCAAGGTCACACTTAGAGGTCAAAGATTAACATAGTCTGTTATAGGGTATATTCTGTGTCCGATCTATAACTTCTTCATAGTTCAAGGATTTTGAAAATACTTGGCACAAATAGTTACAATAATAAGACGTTATGTCATGCACAACACCTGTACCCCTACCTCCAAGGTCAAGGTCACACTTAGAGGTCAAAGCTTGACATAATAGATTTTTAAATTCCATGTTTCATTTTATTTCTTAAATAAATTTATTGTTGCATTTGCAGATCTAGCATTGATCATAATTTTGGACTGAAAATCGTGAGATCCATGCCTCAATCTTTTGAAATAGCATAATTTTATGCTTCATATAAAACTTCCCTGAGGCGGGGGACGTTGGTAACTCTGTTACAAATTCTTGTTCAGTTTGTTATTCCATTTCCATATCTATATCAAAATAACCATATATTTTTTATAATTTGGTTAAATATTTCAATGTCTAAACTCCATTCCATATCAACAGATAATTTCTGGCGGTATAGGGCGTCAGCTCTATCATTTAATTTTCCAGGAATGTGATAAGCACTTATCCAAATATTTTTGGATATACAACATTCTCATATATCTTTTGTCAATGAATTAATTTTTTCTGCCGCCGACCCCCTCCCCCATTTTCGTCAAGTGTGCTACATGTACATGTATTATTGTCGTTGTGTTATCTAACATTAATTGTACATTTTCATTTTCCTTGGCAAATCTTTTCAAAGTTAAGAGCGCGGCTTTTAGCTCAAGGTAATAAATATGTTGCACTTTGTCAAAGATATTGTTGCGTTCTTTGAATCTGCTTGTCACCTGCTGTCAGTTCTTTTTTTCGCTTGTTTATTTGACCAGATTATTTAGTTTACTTTCGGGACCTGAATGTATTAACATTTGTCTGGTATTTTTTTTACCCAAAAGCTCTTGTACTTCGGATGCTCTTTTTTTACGGTCGAGGCTATAACATTATGTACGCTTGGTCCACATTCTTCTTGTTTGGTACACGTTGCAGTTTCGCAAGTTTCCTGTCTGAGTGTGAAGACGCACTCTGTTTTTCTTCATTTGTTTACTTCTAGATGTCAAGTCACTTTCACTTCCCGAGTCTGACAAATCACCACGAGACGAAACTTCATCATACTTTAAGGCATACTAGTATTCAGATTTGTAAGGCTTGTTATTGCCGCTGTTTATTTTTCCAGTGAATTTTGTTGGTAAAGGCACATATGCTTTGTGTTTGTCGTAACTGTTCTTAAAATACGAACATCACTGGATCAATATTGTTACCTATAGGGGTGGCCGTATTTAATCCCGCCCCAAAAGAGATTTTCGGATCGATCGGAGGATTTCTATCCACGTGCTTCTTCCGGATGTCGATTCTTCAACAGCACTTCCGCCGGATGTAGTTGTTAACGTGACCGCCACATATCTAAAAACATTTAAGCGGGATTCATTTTGTCCGGCTGTCAGTTATCCCTTGGACTCCAGGTGCCTCTAAGAGCTGATTATTCTGAAGAGACCCATTTGCAGAAAAGTTTAACTCACTCTGCTTTTCTGGCCCTTCGACCATAATTGAACAAGTTTACACAGTTCTAATCACAAAAAATCCAGCGAAATCGGAATAATTCACTACTTTATATGTTTATGAATGAGACACGATAGAGTAATTCCCTTTTGGTACCAAAAAGAAATAACACTTTCAACAGATAACAATCCTTAACTAGATAAAAACTATTATTTTTATATTCTTCGTAAAGCCACAAGTGGTCAGTTCCAAGGTAGCGTTGTTCTGCTAGTAATTGGTCACGTGACTGCGTTCGTTCACTCGTGGGATTCTGATTGGTTGAAAGGGGTAGCAGAATGTCATGCTTTAAACCATATATGGTTTTCTAATCTGTGAAATCGATGAAATAAGACTCGTAGTTTGATGGATATTGTGGTCATTTATAATTTGATAAAGTAACACATTTGTACAAGTTTGCGTATAATATTATGCTTTATTTTAAAATAATACATTTAAAAGAAAGTTCATAATATGACAAAAAGTTGCAAAACTGCATAAATCATATATTTTTCATTCAGACTGATATAGATCAATATCCCACCCACTAATGGTTAAGAAAATAAACCACTTTTTTAAAATTTTCATTAAGGTGCCAGGATTTATTCTACAATTAAGCTGTATAATTCACCTAATACAGACACTTTTCCTTTTTATATGCCCCCCCTTCGAAGAAGTGGGGGTATATAGTTTTGCTAATGTCTGTCGGTCGGTAGGTCGGTCGGTCATTCTGTCCATTGGTAGACCACATGGTTTCCGCTTACAAACTATTTATCACAAAGTCTTTATATTTCACATACATATAAGTAATAATAAGTAGATGACCCCTATTGATTTTGGGGTCACTAGGTCAAAGGTCAAGGTCAAAGGGTCCTTAAACGTCAGAATGGTTTTTGCTGATTATCTTGAAAACTATTCATCATAAAGTCTTCATATTTCAAGTACTGATTTGTCATAACTAGTAAATAAACTTATTGATTTTGAGGTTTCTAGGTCAAAGGTCAAGGTTACAAGGGCCCTAAATGTCAGAATGGTTTCCGCTAATTATCTTGAAAACTATCAATCACAAAGTCTTTTATATTTTACTTACTGATTGATCATAACCTGTTGATGACCCCTATTGATTTTGGGATCTTTATTTCAAAGAACAAGGTCACAGGGGCCTTAAATGTCAGAATGGTTTCTGCTGATTATCTTGGAAATTATTCATCACAAAGTCTTCACATTTCATAAAATGGTTGGTCATAACTAGTAAATGACCCCTAATGTTTTTGAAGTAACGATGTCAAAGGTCAAGGTCACAGGGCTTTGAATGGTAGCATGGTTATCTTGAAAGCTATTTATCACCAAGTTTTCAT